AGCTGGAACGGCGGGGAATGCCGTTTAGTCATAGAATGGAATCTACGCGAGCCTCTAGCATTTTCCAGTAGCGGAGTTGGAATAATATAAATAGCCGACGTATCAGCGCCGAGTTTAGTGGAATATAGAACATTGTATTGAAAAGTGAAAATGTAAGAAATAAATTAGAATTGTTAGTTAGTATCTAAATATTATATAAATTAAATAGTACGTCTGAAATAAATTGTAAATAGTGTTTTTAAATAAATAAACTAAAAATAAATTAGACTTTCGTCACATTAGTAAAGAAGCCAGTAAAGAAGCCATTAAAGACATCAGTAACCCTTTGTGAATCATCTACTTTCAAATTGCAGTAGGATATTTGAATATTTTTATGAGATTTTATCTTTTCATTTAATTCTTTAATCACTTCCCATGTCATTTTATTTTTGTTAGAAGATTGAATAATTTTACTAAAATAATATTTGCTCTTAGTATTTTCTACAAGTCGCTTATGCTCTGACTTTGAAATTTTATAGTAATGTTCAAGTATATAGATTTTTTTGTAAAATATATAAATTATTTTTGAGATTCTCAGACCATTTTTTTACATTGCCCAGCTTTTAGTATTTTTGTTCGATATTAATTTAGTTTTGGTTGGACAACTGATTTCAAAATGGCGTATTAAGGTATCACAAAAAGTATTTTTCAGGTCAATATTTTTTTGGAATTAAACATCATACTAGGATTCTTTAGATAGGAGCTTTTTAAAGTGATTTATATTTGATTCATTAGTGCTTCTAAATTCAATAATATTTGGCATTATGGAGGGAGATTCCTTAATATCTATTCCTAAAAGAAGGAAATCATGATCTGATTCACTGTTGATGTCTACATGACTCAAACAGTACTATAATTTGAGTAAATTTGATCAAGTACACTTTCACATGTGGGTATAAATTTTTTGAAGTAAACCATACGATTCGAGGAATTGTGTGAATTTTCTAGATTGTTGTGGGGTCATTGATTTTTCGTTAAAATCCCCTGCTAAAAATATGTTTAAGTTATTTATATGTACAAGTTTTGTTATGGATTAAGTTCAAGTTATCATAAAAAACATTAAAATTATCATTAGGTGACCGGCTCGGTGACCGGTAACATATTAATATTATAATGAAGATAATTCCATTTCAACCCACAAATTTCTATCTTTTTCCCTACAATAAGCGTTTAAAGTGACATTCTGAACGTTAAGATCATTTCTTGCCCAAATTGCAACACCACTTATGAGATTAATTCGACCATAATAGGTTATAAGTTTATATACTGGATATGAAAAATTAATTATATTATCAATAGATATCCATGTTTCAGTAAAATATAACAATTTTAAATTTTTTAGTTTAGAATAATCAGATAAACTTTTGTCTATTTTATATTGACTAAAACCCTGTACTGGACTGTCAGTATTCTGAGAAGACCACCTTTATAAATTCCTCTTTTAAACTTGCCACCGGTTTCTCAGTTATACCACTGTGTTAAATTGGTTGCCTATATTAAAATCTACCTAGCTAAAGTTTTGATCTTCAGAACATGTAAAAAGAGGAAGACCACCGATAGAAAAACCAGTGAGTAAATGTTACGAATCGAAGGCCCATAAAGCAATTACCCTTTTTTTAAATTGCTTTTTTGTGTACACATTTACATTGAGGTAAGTTATGTCCAATTGAGTTATTTTTGACCCCAGAATATGGGTTCCATTTATGATCTACCTTTTTGTTATATAAACATTTTTTTCTGTATTTTGTGGTTTTAAGTGTCATGTACCTAACTGCTTTTTAGCGTTCTCAATAAGATGTATGTACTTCTTTGACAATAAAATATTTTTGAATTGAATTGAGGCCCCTGAAGTACTCTGGTAATTATATAAAGTTCCTTGTACAGATCATTATAGAAAATATCTAAACTACCACGTATTATAGATAAAAAATATCAAACTAGTGGATGTAAAGTCAAACTATTGTTAAATTTGTCTTACAGTGTAATGATCATTTTCCTTTTTTTCTCTTAATTTTTTTATTATTGTAAATTGCTTTTTTATACATTCTTGTAATGGTATTTCGGTTTTCTTACTATTCTATAATTTATAGAGTGGGCAAATTTCGATGTTTTAATAGAGAATCTCGTTAACTATAAATGGTATGGAAAAATGGACTTCCCATCCTCGATCTCTTTTTTTTTTTGAGAATTGGCTATTGTCTTTTGTTTTCGAGTTAAAAACAAAAGTTGGTTTTATCAAATTTTTGTTATGGCATTATCTCCCTTATTTATGAAAGTGAACGAAAATAATTTATACCTTCTTCAGGCATTTTTTGATAAGAATCCAGTGGCGTAGTCATTTTTTTTTTAATTCTTCAAATTCGAGTTATAGCATAAAGTTGTATTTTTTTATATGGAAAGGGTAGTTGGCTGTGGCATACAAAAAAGGACAAAAATTTTCCCATTCTAACGATAAATATATAATATGTATTCATTTTCATTCTTATTTAGCAAAATCTCATGATTTTCAAAATAATCTAGAATACTTTGTTGTTTTCAAGTAGGCTTGTGTCATTTAGAATATTTCTGGTAGGACAAAGTATCTCTTATTGCATGTTATTAAAATACTGAACAACAGAGTATTATTATTATTATTATTATTATTATTATTTGATTGTTTATGAGATCACTTTTAAAGAAAATGTTCTATAAAAATAAATAAAAAAATAATTTGTAAGAATGTTTTATTCAAAGTAATAACAATTCTGAAACAATTTAATTGCTATCCGGAAAGAAGATAACCTAATAATTCTATTTTCAAACAATTAAAAGAAAATTTTATACATTATGGAACTTTTAACAAATCAGAGACAAAGAATTATAATATTGATGATACTGTTTAACCAATTACAACATCATTAAAAATATAAAACTATCTAGACTAAACTTTCAAATGTATGTTCATTATTCGCAACACGTGAACAACATGTTTGGAAATATTCCGAATTGCGTTATAAATATGGATAATTGGAGATGGAATTAACACACTGTATAAAATTTTGCATTAGAAGTATTTTTGTATAAATTGCATTTAATATATCCCCAAAATAAATCTAGGGAGGTTAAATCTGGTCAACGTGGTGGCCACCTTACCGGTTCTATAATTTTTGTTCTTTTTAATTTAATTTTTTTTATTTTTATTTGCCACTGGTGAATGGATGTTCCTTATGAACTCCAGAGCCCTTTGGCTGGTGACAGTGCTACCTAAATCCCTTAAATGTATATCAACAACAGTAGTTAAAGACCTATCAGTAGATACAAATGGTGTTTAGGCTAGCTGGTTGTTATATTTGGTGATAAGCGATGGTCCTTTTGGATTCCCGGTTGTTACATTTGGTGACAAGTGGTGGTCCTTTAGACTGGTTGGTTGTTACACCAGCTCCTTCCTTGGTTTTTGAACCGTCTGTATACCAGACGAGTTCAACCTGTACGAGAGGTCTCTGTTCCAGGATTTACAGGCTGGTATTTGAATTTGGAAATTTCTTTCAAATTTGTATGTGGTTATGGCTCTATCAGTAAAATATTATCCCTTTTTACTAGCTGCTATAGCCATGTGTGGTCGGCGCTATGTAGTTGGCTTATTGGGTTTTGTCCCTGCATTAGCCTGTGAATAGTTGACCTGGTTTCTCCTTGTATGAAGATGTGCAGTGGCGTGAGATTTAATAATAGCTCCATTGCTGACGTTGGCATAGTGTGCATGGCCCAGTAGCACTTAGACAGGAAAGCCGCTGAATGCCAGTGAGTTGACTTATTGCACTTGCCTGCGCAGTTTTGGTTACCCACGCCACTGCGCCATAGGTTATCATGGGGCTTATCCCTTGTGTATAACCATATGGTCATTTTGGGGTTTAGATCCCAGTTTTTCCCACATATTCTTCTACAGCTTACGAGAGCTATTGTAGCTTTGTATGTGAGTTTTTTGTCAAATATGACACTCTAACATGTTAAACTTTTCGCTATTTTCATAGGCCATTTTGCACTTTTAAGATGATATCATAAACAATCAAATGTTATTAAATGATCAGTGTTGTAAAAACGCAGATACTTCTTTCAGAAATATTCTAAATGACACAAGCCTACTAGAAAACAACAGAGTATTATAGACTATTTTGAAAATAATGAGAGTTCGCTAAATAACAAATTATATAAATAAATATCGTTAGAATGGGAAAATCTTTTCCTTTTTTGTATGCTACAGCCAACTACCTGTTCCATATAAATAAATACCAATTTATGCTATAACTCGAATTTGGATAATTAAAAAAAAAATGACTACGCCACTGGATTCTTATTAAGGTATAAATTATTTTCTTCCACTTTCATAAATAAGCGAGATACTGCCACATAATGAAAATTTGAAAAAAACAATTTTTGTTTATAACTCGAAAACAAAAGACAATAGCCAATTTTTGAAAATGCCATTAAGTTTTTCCATACCATCTATAGTTAACGAGATTTTCTATTAAAACATCGAAATTTGCTCACCCTGTACACCTGTAATTGGGCCTTGGCCTGCTGGTTGTATAATTATATAAAGATAAAACAAGTATTTAATACACTCTAATCACAAGATCTCGCCTATATTATCTAAGGACCTTTAATTAGCACTGAATGGGAGCAGATTTGCAACGGTAGATCTGTCAAAGAAAAATTTGTAGATATGCAGAACACCAGCAGAAACCATGAACATGTTTTCAAAAAATGATTAACAGCACTGCTATGGTCAACGTAAAATTCACAAGGAATAGTGTAGGGATTGTGTTGTGGAGGGAAGTAAATACAAAGCAATAATGTTAAAATTGTGAAGGAAAATAAAGAATTTTATAGCTTTTCTTTAGCCGCACCTCGCTTAGTAAAATGCTTCATTCTGTTTAAAATTATTTGTATAAATTTTAAATTCTGTATTTTATAATTAAATTTACCTTGAGAGTTTCTTAATTTGCTCATCAATTTCATCGATCTGCCGCTCAGTAGTTGCCTCTTCCTGATCTTCTGCGATAATTGCATTGCTTTCACTGTCTGCTTCTTTAATAACTTTCAGGAATTTTTCCCATTCTTCTTCAACGGGATCCTTATATTCTTGATTTCTAGCCTAAAATATTTTTAATTGAATTGAAATACACATTTAGCTATCTGTAATTCATTAAACTGATAAATTATTTTTTTTTAAACAAATTGTTATAAAAAGAGTGTCTGAAGAGTGTATGTTTTAATGTTGTAAAATTACATTTAATCTAGATGTTTATAATCTGTATAAAGACAATGAAAACTACCAACCCTAATTAATAGTAAGTCCAGAAATGTTACATAATGTGCAAAAAGCTATTGAAGCTTGATTGTACCATTGTATACCTAATATATTAATTTGTTATTCATTTCATTTCCATTAATTTACTGAGAATTAAACAGTTTCTGTTATCCAGGGTGTTTCAGAAGAAAGTACTGTAAACTGGGGGATTTTTAGAACTTATCTAATTAAAATTATGCTTTTTAAAATCAGAAGATATTCAACCGAACTGGTCTATAAAGATAATAACTTACTATCAACTTATTTGAAATCGATAATCAGATTTATGTTAAAAATAAACCATTTTAAACAAGGTTTGTCTCATAGCATTAATACTAGACTGGCTGCTAATAAAGATTTATGGCCTCAAAATCCTAAACATACTGCATGTCATAACCATATCTATTGTGTAGGTCCTAAGGTATATAATTGTTTACCAAAGGAATTTAAAAATAAGTCATATCATAAAATCAAAAATAGGATAAACCAATGGATAGCTATTTATTTTCCTCTGCCTTTAACAATGCAACCAGGAGACAGGGTTTAATTCCAAGCAAAGAGAAAAAATGAATATTCAAAATTAGACCATTAAAAGTTTTGTCTTCTAATTTATAAGTTCTTGATTACTTTGGATGTTAGGCTACTAGTGAACTTAAGTCGCACTGTTAATTAGGTAATTAGGATATCTTGTTTATATTTAAGTTATTGTGTATATTTATGTAATAATTTATAATTTAAATTACTGTAAACTGAATGGCAAATAAATAAATAATTATTAAGAAAAGCTAAATATAATTTTCCTGTAAACGTCCCAGTTTTCATTATAGAGGGAGATAAAGTGAATTTATTAAATAAATAATTTTCTACATATCTTCCTTTACGGTAAAGACTTCAACTTAAATTTGATAGACACTAAATTGATGGTTCCCACCTTATCTAGATTGAGGCCCACAAGGGTAAACCCGTAGCACGAGAAATGATTTGATTTGGAACGAAAGACCTAATGCCGATGGTAGTATAAAGATATGTGAAATATTAAGTGAGGAAGTACAGGTATTTTACAAGAATTTAATTAAGGACAGTAATATTAGACTTAAGGATATAAATATTGTTACAAATAAGTTAGCTAAGCTAGATAAATTTAACCCTGATTTTAACTCTATAAAACATATTGTTAAGGAAAAAGACTTAGTACAATATTTGGATATTTCCAGGAATTGTCTAACTCAGAAAACATTAGAAAATAGATTAGGAGAATTAAAGTCAAATCAAATACTAATTTCTGAAATGTCTGAAAAATTTGAATTAAGAGTGGCATCTACCTTGATACCGTCAAAACAATAATACAAAATATTTAATCGATTTAATTGAATTCTATGACGCTTTATTAAATGAGCTGGGTGAAATAATAACTACTTTCATTTTAAAAACGTGACTTTCAAAAAGTGCAAAAGTTAGATTAAGCAATACATATCAAATTTAGCTTTAATTAGAGATTTAAGTTCGTGCCGCACATTTACAAAAAATCATGACATGCTATATAACGCATGTGTTGCACATTCGAATTATTTTAATTCAGCTTCGCGGTCAACGTGTTAAATCTGTCCATGTAAGAAGATCTGATCCATTTACCCATGCCCATATAAAAATATTTGTCCATTATACCTTAAGCCAGTCCTTAAAAAACATTTGATTCCTTTATCCCTCAAGTCTCCCATATCAAAATATTTAGTTCCTTCTTAAGCTTACCCATACAAAAATAGGTTGGACCCTTTAAACCCCCCAAGTAAAATATTTCTCCCCTTTATCCTGTACGCCTGCCCATACAAAAATATTTGCCGCTTTACCCCTTAAGCTCGTCTGTATAAATATATTTAAGATATTTTACCCCTTAAGCCTGCCCATATACAAATATTATTTGGGCAATTTAGTTTTTTTAATCCTAATATCAAAGTTAGATACGAGTTCAATTCTGGTGTTTCATTAAAGCATCGCTACTTTCCATCCTATTATATTATTTGCGTAAAATCCACAATTATTTCATATTAAAACTATAATTTTCACTATCACACTTTAACTTACAATAAATAAGTAACTACTGAATTGAAAATTGTATAAATAAAATATTATTTTAAATGACTTAAAAAAAAATTTGGAAATAATTTATTTGACAAGGTGAGAGAACTAAAGAAAAAACAATTACCTATCTAAATCACGAATATTTTGAAAATTATCCCGATATCATTCTCTATAATTTTTGTTCTATACATGATTTCTCTAAATAATAGACCTCAATGGAAAAATTTAAGGAAAAATTTAAAAAAAAATTTCAGTATTTTTGTTGGCAATGAATATAAAAAATGTTCCGAGTAAGATGTGAAAAATATATGTATTTAGTTCATCCTCTAAACATTTACAAGAATATGAACTAAACATACATTTTCCACACACATCTTACTCAAAACATTTTCTTATGAAAAATAGCCCGTTTCCATTTGATAAAATTTGGTTATGGTAAATTAAAAAGAGATTTTTAAAAAAACACCCTGTATAGGTAATACATAATTTCTGTGTCACTGAAGCAAAACCTATAGCAAAATAACACATATCAGCAAAAACCGCACGTTTCTACGATTTGTTTAAAAGTTATAATCTCTGGAAATAGGCTACTTTTCATTGGGACACCCTGTATATATTCATTGCCAACGAAAATACTGAAAAATTAAAATTTTATACTTTTCCTCAAATTTTCCCATTACGGTTTATTTTAGAGCAATCATGTATAGAACAATTATTATAGAGAATGATGGGGATAATTTTTAAAATATTTGTTTTTTATATACAGGGTGAGCCACCGGTAATGCCTCGGTATGTAGAGCCAAAATTATTTGATTTTTTCTAATCTCTTTTCACAGCTAGATGTATATTAGAAAAGGCAACAATTTAAAAATAATTTCAATTATACATATCAAAGTTAAGTTTTAAAAGGGTCACCCTGTATTTTATTTTATATTTTATAACAATACCAAATAGTACGAGATTATAGAGGGTACTTCTCACCCTAGAACCAGTTTTATATGAATATCGTATTGATTTCAATGACTTGTATACTACAAAAGAAAGGTTTTCGATATGCACTACTTTGTTTGATTCAAAACAAATCTGTACAGGGTGAGTCAAAACTCAAATACAAAATTTTCTCATTTTTTTTAAATCACCATTTAAAAGTACCCTAATTAAAGTTTCATTTGAGTAAAGCATTGCCTATAGCTAACCCAACAAACGGTTAACTGACAGGAAACTGTTGGCCAGAAGCCGTCAGTGACGGGACACTGACGGTGTTGGCTGATCGACGATGGAACCCATCTAATACTGGCAGATTAATGTTGGCCCAACGCTGGATTTAGGGTTATTTCCCATCGTGATTATACAACTGCGTTAAGCAAAAGCGGGCAATGTGGGGAAGTGTATGGCTGTTTAATTAATTTCCTACTTACATATTTGACGTTTTAGACATTAAAAGTACTAGTTTAAGTTTTTTTTAATTTTTGTAGGTTTTGTATTAATTAAAAATTGTTTAAAACAAAATTTTATCAATTAATTAACATTAAAAAAATAATTTAGCGTCTATTGTGTATGTCAAACTTAAAAATATCTAAGCTGTATTACACGTTAACGGAGAAACTTATTTCCGGAAAATACACACAAAAACTAAAAACCAATATATTAATCCGATATCCCGTTTATATTCCGCACATAAAAGTCAAAAACGAAAAACGATAACAATTTGAAAATTTCAGTAAAAATCAAGCTCTATAAAGGGAAGAAGTCTATTCATTTTGAAAAACATCTGAATTAAAATGGGAGAGTTAAAAATATATGAATATCTATAAAAATCTATAAATCTAAGGGGGGTCGAAATATTAAAAAAAAAAAAATGCTCAAATATGAAAAATAATATAATCTTGAAATTTTTAGCAAAAATCAATCTCTATAGGTGGACAAAGCTTATTGATTAAAAAAAAATTGTATACAAACTGGGTGTTAATGGGGGTTGAAATAAAAAAAAAATTAAAATTAAACACCAAAAGCGATATCAACATAAATTTTTTAGTAAAAATCAAGCTCTATAAAGGAATGAAGCCTATTAATTCTGGAAAAAATCTGAATAAAAATGGGGGGCTAAGGGAGGTTGAAATATTGAAATAAATCATCTCAGAAATAAAAAACAATATCAAATTAAAATCTTCAGGAAAAATCAAGCTTTATAAAGGGATGAAGGCAAATGATTCTGAAAAAAATCTGATTAAAAATGGGGGTTAAGGGGGTCTGGTAAACTGTGAAGAGTATAATATAGAATGCCAAGCATTGTATATCTTTATTCTAGTTGTTTTAATTTAAAATATTTCAAATTAATAATACATATAATTAGAAGGTTTTTAACTGGAATTTTATTTTCAATCGCTCACACTGTGACAGTGACGGCTCACGAGACGTTATGAAATTTAACCTATTTTGTTTCGTTATAATTTGTTGTGTTGTGGAGTTAACTATGGTTTGCTGTGCAAGTGGATCAGCAAACATTCCATTCTTGTTTAGTGATTATTCCTATTTTTATTAAATAAATTAAATAATACCTAGTGTTAATTATTTCTAAATTGGCGATTATAGGTAGCCCACAGTATATGTGTCAAGGTGCCTATGTAGTGTCCAACCAATACAACATTTCTTACAAGTTCATCAATTCTCAATCTCTGTCTCAATCAAAAGAATGTTCTGACTAAAGATATCACCAGACAGCAGTTGAAACAGTGCTAAATAATTGATGTCGAACAGCCTGCGATCGAGAATGTGGACTAAATTAATACTTAATTATTTTTTTTGTGTTTTATGTTACTAATTCTTTTGTTTATTTCAAGTATGTTCTAATATATTTTATTTTTATGCTGTGTTTTAAATCTTTAAAATCCCATTTGTAATTTTATATTTTATGGTTTTAGAAAGGTGGGATTTTAAGTTATAACCATGACATTTTGTATGCGAATATATAAGTATATTTATAAAAAACAAATTTAGTTGACAATGTCGCCAAGAGGTGGTCCTCTTATATCGGCCGGTGTTAGCCGATACTCGCCAAATACAAATCTTCTAATAAATGAGAGCATCGGACAATCGTAGAGGATATGCTCGATGGTCTCATCTTCTTGTTCCCACCCCCTGCAGAGTGTGGATTCTGGGAGCCCATGATATGGAGATACTTGGCAATGTCCAGCCAGAATGCCTGTGATCAGGCACAGATTTTGTCTAGTCATAGTCAAGTATTTGTTTGCTGTAGTGTTGTCAGTTCATCTTTCCTTGAATTTCACATGGGAATGTTTTTTAATTAGCTTTGTCACTATTGATGTTGTTAGTCCCATAGAAGGGCCAGGTCCAAAAAGTATTTGGTTGACTGCCTTCTTGGCAAGTGAATCAGCAAGATGGTTACCTTTTGGTGGCGTGACTTTTGATCCATCTTAAGTTGACCACATTGCTGATGGATACTTCGGCCAAAGCTTTGTGACATTCTAGTACTAACCCCTGAATAAATTCATGGTCTGTCCAGGGTGAGTAGTGCTTGTCTGCTATCTGTATAGATGAGCATGTTTCTTCCAGTGATATTATTTCTGGTGATTTCTTCTGTGACTATGAGAATGCCCGTGAGCTTGGTTTGAATTACACTGGCACTACTGCTCACAGCACATTTTATGTTTAGGTTTAAGCAACTGGAGTATATTCGATATCCTGAGCCTTGTTTTGTTTTAGAACTATCTGTGTAGACATGAATCGTACCTGCCACTTCTGGCTCTTCTGTTATAACTTTATATGGCTTATGGAAGATATATATCGGTGAGAGGTCCATGTTCGCTTGAAGCCTCCATAAATATTACTGGAGGCTACTTAGAGAAACTTTTCTAATTAAATAAAATTTGTCATAATAACACTTAATAAACTTAGAATAAAGTAGGTAAGTAAAGTTTTCAGTTGCTATTTTTATTTATTATTTTACTGAATGCAAAAGTCTCATTAGGTATTGTCAAAAATAAATTAAATTCCAATTACCAATTAACAAACAGTCTATTTTCCCATTAGCAGGTTGGATAGCACTGTCGCTTATAAGCATCAGTAATGTTTTTCGCATGTGCCACTGCTGCGTATAAGCGTTTTATGTGCTTTAATCGGTTTGGTTAGGCAGTCTGTCAGACTGCATTTGTGTTAATTGTATGTTTGCAGGCACTAAAGTAAAGGTATTTACAACAAAAAAGTATACGTGGTTCTGGTTTATTCGCTGATTTTGTAGTTTTTGAGAAAATGCAAATTCGTTTTGATAGGTCCTTCACAACCAAAAAGGCGCAGTTTACACAAGTATACGGAAGGAGAATTGTTAGAACTTTTAGAAAATAGTAAGGAGAAAAGTGATTTTGAGTTGCCGCCGAAATCAGATTAGGAATGGTTTGGGTCAGGGAGATTGTAGCATTATAACTCCTAAAAAAATAAAACTATTTAAACTATTTTTTTAATAATCTTGAGTTTTTAATAATACTAAATTATTTTAATTTTGTAATATTTTATAATTTAAAACACTTTTCGTATCCTGTTTTCTTATGTTTTTTTTTTTAGATGTATGTGTATTCATTTAAAGTTTATATTTGGTTTTGTGTTGATATTTTCTGTGCATTGTTGCTAAAAACTCGTGAGTAAAAGAATTTCTACCTAATGTAGGCTCATAAATGATGACAGCATGTGATAATGAAGTACGATATTCAGTGCAACTGTCACTTATAAGTGTCAGTTTTTGAGTTTTATTTTATCACTTTTTTTCACATACTTTGATTACTATACGGTGCAAGAGAGAGGTCCGACACGCCCAACATAGGGCGCGGCCATTTTGATTCCTATGCCACAGTTTATAGCTAAAGAATCAGATCGCTCACTCTGCGTCGGCACTTATGATCTCAATGTTCCACTTTATATACTGCACAACTCGGATAATACAATATATGACAACCGCCTATAATAAAACAGCAGTCTTCTGCGTATCCTGAATTTGTATCCCTGAAGTGGATGTTATTTTGGAACTTTCAACTGGTCCGAGTGAGCTAACTGATTCTTTAGCAATAAATTGTGACTCCAAAAATAATATTCACTGACACTGACAGCAGCAAGCAAAATATCAGGTGCGTTTTAATCATCCTCTTCTGCTTCCGGAATTGTCGGTTTAGTCGTTTTAACCTGTCAGATTAAAACAAGAAAACTGACAATTCCGAAGCAGATGATTAAAACGCACCTAATAAAAATATTGCGCCAAGATGTAGGCAACACGTAATAATGGATCAAAATGGCGGAGTTATCTATCTCCTTTTAAAAGGCACTCAGAAAGCTGCACAGTGCGACCATTCTCCATATAGTAAAAGAAAATCAAAGTATGTGCTTTTTTTAGATAGGTATCAATCATTTAACGTACTTACAATTAATTTTAGATCACTATGTTGTTTAACTATAATGTATATTTTTGGGACCAGGCAAAGCTAAGGAGAGTGGCATCCAACCTGTTAATCAGTACTCAACCATTTTGTGAATTATCTTTTTTCTCATTTTAATTTAAAAATCTCCCAAAATTATTAACTTTAGATATACTTAGGGAAAGCTTAACTCAAGTGAAACTTTAATTAAGAAACTTTTAAATGATGATATAAAATTTAGGGAGGTCAAATTAAAAAAAAAAAATAAGAAAATGATGTATTTGAGTTTTGACTCACTCTGTACAGATTTGTTTTGAATTTAAAAAAGTAGTTAGTTCCTTTTTTGCACATTCTAAGTACAGTGCAACCTCTTTAATCCGAACACCTAATTGTCAGACCTTGTTGGGATTATCGAATTGTTCGGATTAACGAATGTACAATAAAACACCTCTTGCACATTTTTAGACCTTTAGATCTATGTATGTATATTGATTTTTGTACATTTAAGTGCATTATCAAATTACATATGGGCGACGCGGGCCGCGCTGCAGGTCTTTTCCTGTCAGCGTTTGGATTACAGAGGCGGCGTTCAGACTATTTCGCATCACGATTTGCGTTCGGATTAGCGTGGGTTCGGATTATGGAGGTTGCACTGTATATAATAGCGAAAAATTATGAATTAAATATGTTTGTTGTTTCAATACCTTCGCATCCAACTTTGGATCATCAAAAAATCCTTCAGGTAATGTATCTTTATTTTCTACAGGTTCTTCCATTTTTTCGGGTTCTTCAGCTATTTCACTTGGGCTAGGTTTGTTTTTAAGTTGTGCATCAAAGAAGTCAGTAGGTAACTGAATTTTGTCATTCTTAACTGAATTACTGTTTTCTACTGTACTTGGTTTTGCATGTTTTAAAATACCCTTAATTTTTTTTTCTGATACTTCTGGCAATGGTGGTGTTAATGGTCTTTTTAAAGGAGTAGTAAAGTTATTAGTCCTTTCTTTTAATTTCTTTGCTATACCAATATTTTCCTTGTGTTTCTTTGAATTAACATGTAATGCCCATACTGCTTCTGATCTTACTACCCATTTACATAGTAAACATGTTAACTGGCCTTGTTCATTGTATGTACAGAGTGTTAAGGAATAATATAAATTGAAAATTAAAATGGCTTGTTTAAAATTAGGTTTGTTCGAACAAGAGTCCCAATGACCATCAAACTCATACACAGTTTTAGCAAACTTCTACCAAACTTCAAACCGAATACCTGATTGTGAAATATTTTTATTTTAAAAAATGAGTTGTTATCATTAATTTACACAAGATATGGAACTAAAATTTTTATTTACAATAGTGATACCTACAAGTACGTATGCTTAGTTTTTTCATAAGCGAAAAGAATTCAAACTAGGCAATGACCAAAAAAAGTATGTCACATGCATCCATTTAAATAATTTTTCAGTAACAAACTCTATGTTAAGAATCACCTTCTTAGATCTACAATCAGAGAGACCTCTAGTCTTCTAGTCAATTAAAATAGTTGATACTTGTTATACAAAGCATACATATTCAAAATATTTGTTATAAAAACTATACACATGACACTTATAAAAGGATATTTTGCTAATGGTGAATCAATCTTCTTCACATCTTTTGCCTTAATTTTGTGGTCATTCATTAATTTCCTTAGTTCTGACTGGTTTAATTTCTTTTTTGCATTCTTGAAAATTGCTGACATTTTTAAGTATATTATTTATGCAGCTTCAAAACTACCTATATTGTTTTTAAAGGAATATGTTTTTCATTTCATGTATCAACTAGAACTAGAATACACAATCAGTAATCGCACTAATCACTACACAATACACGATCATATGAATATGAACGTGAATAAGGATAAGTAATTATTTTTATTTATTATATCCAGATTTATAAATACAAAAAAATATGTTTTACAAATATTATGTTTGACATCTGTCAAAAAGAGAAAAGAAGATAGTGGCCTAATACTACAGGGCTGGAACTCTGTGTCATGTAGAATTCTACTTATCGCTTTCTACAATAGATTCTTTTGAGCTATATCAAGCTAGCGGGCACTCTGTGGCAGGTATCGGTAACTGGTATAGCCCGAGCTGAAACTATATTTTTGTTTCAAGGAACAGATTCTAGATGGCGCTGTACACAACAATTTACAGAAATCTACAATTGATGGTGGAAAGAGTGGGAGTGTCATTTGTCATTGTCAATTGTCAGGCATCCATTATCGATTACCTCGCGGTGAATGACATTTGCCATTTTACCTGTATTTTTTGTGATTATCAATATCATATTGTCAATAATTATTATTTGTTTGTATTTGGGTGTGCTCTGGATCCTGGATGAATAAATAGTAAGTATTTTGTAAATAATTGTTTATTGTATTGTCAACTTGGTCTTGTTCAATTGTGTTTTAAATGTTCAATTTGTTTACTTGATCTTGCTGACGATTGAGCTTATTTTAAATTTTTGTGGTCATTTTTAGTTATAAAAGCTGTAATATATCGTATTGTTGTATGCCAAATTGTTTTGTAAACACTCTGAAATCCTAATAACGATTTATTTCAAATTTGAGTATTGGGTGTTCGCAGTCCATTTTTCAAGAATAAAACAACAAATTTGTAAAAACTATTTAGTATGTGATAAACATTTTGAAGATATGTTTAAAGTTCTTGGTGCACGCAGCGATCTAACTGTATTTTTATTTGTTCTAGTACAAACTTTTTCAAGCCGTTTGGAGTGGCAGTAGTATTGCATTGTTGAAGACAAAAACAGCCTAGTCAGGGAAGTAATAGTCACTGTACTTTTTGTATTCATGCCTCACATTTGATTTTTATATTGATTTAGTTCAGATTGTTTCTTTTACTGTTTTTGTATTTGTTCTAGTACAAACTTTCTTCAATCCGTTTGGAATGGCAATATTGGATTGTGGAAGACAAAATAGCATAGTCCGGGAAGTAATGGTCAGTATACCTTTTTTTATTTATGCCTCACTTTCTGTGCTCCCCAACAGATTTGAAGGGTTCAGGAAAAAAAGGGGCCTAGTCACAATTACCAAAATGTTCAGAAAACCAAATTTAATACAAACTTTTGATACTTTAAGGTAATTGATTACAAAAAGATGTTACTTTGTTTAAATGTTGCCTGATTATATTGTAGTTTACCACTTAATTTACCAGACAGTTGTAATTTTTTATTCTAAATACTAAAAATGACAAACAAACAGTAGGAAAGTCCTTGGACATAATTTTAAATGCACTGTTTTGCATTTGCTAATACTGGTATTTTACAAAATAGGGCGGGCCAGTTCAATTTTGATAAAAATGTGGCTTAGCTCCTTTTTTCTTCCTGTACCCTTCTTGATTTATAAGTTGATTTATATTTATTTTTTGTTTTAGATAAAACTCTTCGACCTCTGTGGACAATGACTTAACTTTCCAGCTAATTAATACGCTACATTTAATTATTCTATTTTGTATGTTTTTATTGTTTTAATAAATTAATTTTGTTGATCATGCTTTTTAATTTTTTGTAAAAATATTTCAACTTGTAGTCAAGTTAGGATTGGTTCATACTACTCATTTTTTGCTTTATTGTAACAAATATAATTTTATTGCTACAATAAACGTAAAAAAGGAGTTGGTATGAACAAATCTTAATTTGACTACCACTTTTAAACTAAATATTGAAGGACCATTTTGAATGTTCCCGCGTTTTGTGTTAACTAAAATGACCGCGAGATGGCGCCACTTCCGCCAAATAGTTCAAAGAACGCACACCGGCTGTTACAAAACTGTCTCAAATTTTAACATTGCAGTTTCCATTCTAAAAGTAATTGTTCTGTGCTCTGTGGCGGCACCATATAAGACCTGGTGGGTTTTTTGTAGCTTTTTTGTAGCTTTTCTGTTACGCTATTTGCGAATTTGTAGCTTTGCCCAGGTCCGAAAAAACAGCGGATCCGCTAGCTTGAATTTCCATAAATTCCATAGTAGCGGCACAGATTCAGACCCAGCTGGTTTTTCGTAGCTTTTTTGTTACGCTAGTCTCCCTTTTGTAGCTTGTACTGAACCTGAGAAAAGCGCGGATCCGCTAGCTTAGCGGATATTTGCAGCGACACCAGCTCGGACCAGGCTCATTTTTTGTAACTTTTTTGCAGCTTTTTTGTTACGCCTGTCTCCATTTCGTTGCGAGGCCTGAACGTGAGTAATAATCGTTTCTCCATGAGCGTGAGAGAAAAGTGCGTTAATTTAAAATCAAGTTTCGGCATCTACAAGTAATATATGCAACTCGATAGTGTGACTATCTGTTGATAGATGGCACCAGTATTGCATTTCACGAATTAAGGCCATCTTCCATCCAATATATTTTTGAGAAATTTATATATAATCTCAAAATCGAACATTTGTTTTTAAATGTTTTTTAGTGTTGTTTATGTATTTATACTTTTGTTGAATCAAGAATATTCTTACATCTTTTTTGAATGATTTCCTTAACCAATCGTTTTGCAGTATTTATGAACCAGTATTTAATTTTGTCGGATCACAACTATACAGTGTGTTCCATCTCAGACGAGCCACCCCATAGTAATTGGAAAAATTTCCTGAAACACGTCGGATGATTTTCTTTGGGGGACATCTTTTGACGTATATTTGAGGCTTAAACCAGCAACCCCCTATGAGGGGGAGCTTCAACCCCTCAAAATGGAATAGGGAAAAAGGGTTGAGTGATACATCATTTGTAAGGTCTTGAAAGCCTCTTTACAACGGTGTATGAAAAAATCACATTCTTAAAAAAAATTAATTGTTTTATCACATCAAATGATCGAAGAAACGTGATAAACCTTCTAAGAGCAAAAAATGAAGGCAAGATAAGAAAATGTTTTGATTTTTTTATTTATTAGTTCAAGAGAATTTATTATTGCATGGAAGTCAATGGAAGACAAATTGAACATTTCATTTAAAAACGCAGTTTTGATTTTTTTGATTGTAAGCATGATAAAACAATTGATTTTTTTTAAGAATGTGATTTTTTTCATACACCGTTGTAAAGAGGCTTTCAGGACCTTACAAATGAAGTATCACCCAACCCCTCTTCCCTATTCAATTTTGAGGGGTTGAATAAGCGCCCCCTTGTAGGGGGTTGCTCGTTCAAGCCACAAATATACGTCAAATGTCCCCCAAAGAAAATCATCAGACGTGTTTCGGGAAATTTTTCCAATTACTATGGTATAAGAACTATACGGGGAGGCTCGTCTGAGATGGAATACCCTGTATATAGTGAGAATAGGTAATTGCTTGGTAGCTATTACCACCGGTGTGAAGTTAGCAGTAAGTTTTTAGCAGTAAAAATAACCGAGAACACCCGATCGGGAAAATAGTGGCGTCCGACATACAACTATTTTAATAATCTTGTCAATATGTATTTTACATTAATATCGGACAAATAATTAATATACATACCGTTGAAAATGTCTGATTTTGAGATTATATCTAAATTTCTCAAAAATATATTTAATGGAAGACGGCCATAATTCGTGAAATGCAATACTGGTGCCATCTAGCAACAGATAGTCACACTATCGAGTTGCACATATTACTTATAGAGGCCGAAACTTGATTTTAATTTAACGCACTTTTCTCTCACGCTCATGGAGAAACGATTATTACTCACGTTCAGGCCTCGCAACGAAATCGAGACAGGCGTAACAAAAAAGCTACAAAAAAGTTACAAAAAATGAGCCGGGTCCGGGCTGGTGCCGCTGCAAATATCCGCTAAGCTAGCGGATCCGCGCTTTTCTCAGGTTCAGTACAAGCTACAAACGGGAGACTAGCGTAACAAAAAAGCTACAAAAAACCAGCTGGGTCTGAATCTGTGCCGCTACTATGGAATTTATGGAAATTCAAGCTAGCGGATCCGCTGTTTTTTCGGATTTGGGCTAAGCTACAAATTTGCAAATAGTGTAACAAAAAAGCTACAAAAAACCCGCCAGGTCTTGAATGGTGCCGCCACAGAGTGCCCGCTAGCTTGATATAGCTACTATGTTTGGGTTATGCGGGGAAATAGGTAGACACTATTTTCAGTGTCGCATCATTTTTACGGGGTTTGTAATTAATGTAATTAATAAATTTGATACATACCTTTAAAATACTTTAAATTATGCACATATTTTATAAACTTGCCTTATTTAAGTAGGTATCTAGTAATAGTAAACTATTACTATTTATTAATATTATTTGTGTTGGATATATCAGATTTTTTTTTAAACATCAGAAAGTGTATAACGGAAAAATGAAGGTTGAAATAATAGGCAATAAAAAAGATAAAGAGCTTATATTTAAAAATAAAAAATAGATTACTAAATAATATACTACAAATAGAACTCAAGCTAATACTTAGGTACATTTGAACTGCCATTCGTTAACAAATGAAGTGAAGTGAAGCTTAATTTTTATTGGAAAACTGTATTATGCTTCGATTATTTCTTAATGACTAGGAGTACGAATAAGAGAAGCTTAAAATGACTTTTTTATTGAAAAACTCACATTAGGCTTTGCTTATTCCTTAACAATTGGCAGTCTAGTTAATTAAAAAACATAGGTATATTTAATAAAAAATAATTATTGTCAATTTTTGTGGTTTATAAAAAATATATAGGTATAGTAATAGGTATTTGAAAATAAAATGTATATTGTATTAAAAAGTACTTAGTTACTTACTTATATGTTTTCTTATTCTGCATTTTCTTTTTCTGCAACAGAGGCTTCATGGTTCAGATCATCACTGAAAAATTAAAATGTTGAACAACTAACCCACAAGAAAAGTGCAGGGTTCTTTATCTTTTACATTCATCTTCTTCTGGGGCCTTAGTAAATTTTAATG